TAGTCTTTCACTTACTTTCAAGATGCATCAAATGTTTTGTTTTAATGATTTTCTCTTTCATATTTCAAGGAAATAATGAACAAAAGACCTCAGAAAATTTGACTTGCAGAGTTTTTAGATAAAAAAGACTGGGTTTTGATTCTATGCATTGATTCTATAGGAATTCGGACTTGGTCAAAAAAATTTGACTTGGGGAGGTTTGACTTTGCTTGTGGACCGGAAAAAATCGTTGCCATTATTTCTCTGCTAAAAATGGTGCCAAAAATTATTTTTGCATCATTCAATTTTGAGTCAATTTGCGTGAATGTTGACTGTAACTTTTAAAATTTTGTGTTTGTGTTTTCCAGGTGAGATTTGTGTGCATGAGCGACACGCACAGCTTGACGCACAGGATCACCTTCAGGATTCCCGACGGCGACGTTTTCCTTCATGCCGGCGATTTCACTCGAAGTGGAACCCGGAGAGAAGTCAAAGAGTTCAATGACTGGCTCGGTGAGTAGACTGAAGAAATAAATGCCTTGACAATTTAAATTCCATTTTATTTCTGTAAGGGCTGACGAATTTTTTGTTTGTTGTTGGTATTTTAGGAATGCTTCCGCACCGGAAGAAAATCGTGATCGGCGGCAACCATGAACTCAGTTTTGACAATCGACAATCTGTGTGTGAGAAAATGGAAGGAGGTGCTGGGAAACCGCGTCCTATTTCCGCTAGTCGTTCTGCGCACACTGGCGTCGTCATTGTGAATCCGGTGGATGAAATGGACGGTGATTCTTCTCCGATTGGTGCGTACGTCATCTAGGGCAGGACTTTCGTCTTTTAGTTGGATCAAAAAGCGCAGCATTTAAATTTCAAAATACGGTTGAATCTCCTCATGATTTGTTTTTTAAAGTCCCTGTCAAAGTTCTATTTTTTTTCTGGATGCCGTTTGGCTTTTTATTGACGCAGGAAAGAGAAAAGCTACAAAAGTTGACTTGATGCGTTTTTGAAAGAATATTGGGATGAATTAACCCTTGCCTCAGCTTCGACAATTGAGTAAATTTTTCGTTAAATTCCGAGTCTTACAGTGTTAAATGTTCAAAGATACTAAGACGAAAGAAAGGGAGTTGTTTTAAGGAACAAAGGGGTTCAAAAAACTACCAGGGAACTTTAACGAGGTGGTTGACTGTATTGAAGTGGGAATGCAGTATTTTTTAATTCTTCAACGTTAAATTGCTAAAAAGCGCTGATGAAGACTCTTCTAATGTCCAATTAACCCTGATTAATAATGAAATGGACGCTTTGTCACTTGAATAAGAAACATGACAATCAAATAAATTTTCTTATACTTTTTTGCATTTGATTTGCCTTAAACTCGAATATTCGACGATAGTGTTTAATTTTTGAAAATATAAATAGGGTTTATATTCTCGGACCATCCCTTGAAATAGTATTTCGCGTGCCAATGTAAAACTTCTTCGATTTTACGTGCGTTAAGCATGAAGATTTTTGCGTAAACATGATATGTTCGCGTCATTTTATGAGTTTGGCGTATGTAAAAATATTTTTGCAGGGTCCGCAGCGAGACCTCGTTCAGCAGTGGCATCTAGTTTCGGCCCCGGTGTGATGGGATCTCTGGTGGATTCCCTGGGAGACATTGAGGAAAAACTCTCCATACGGGTCTTTTAAGTAGGCTTTCGGTACTATTGCTTACGACTCATAGAGCTTCTAAGAGAAGAGTGGCACATACCCTAGTTGTAAATACCATGGGGAACCACTCAGCAGGAAATTAAGTACTTAAACAATGTAGATGTCGCCAGAATGTCATTGATGTGACTGCTGAACAAGTACAAGTGCTTCCTTTTGGGTCACTTTTCAGTCGCGAATTCTTCAATTTTTTGTTCAATCACCTTCATGTTCATCAGCATCATTCTTCCTTTTTTTAATGTTGAAAATGGAAAAGAACAAGTTTAGACCAAAAATCTTTTGTTTTGAGCAAAAATTGTTCGTGCCATTGGGAAAATAATTCTTTTCAAAATGTTGAAAATATTTATATTTTTATTTGCAAATCCCAAATGAAAAAAAAATTGCTTGTTGTCTTACACAATCAATTTTATGGCTCACAGGACAATTCCCTGAGTGTTGTCAACCTTTATGAGGATGATTGCTGAATGTGTGGACAAATTTTACTTTGAGATTTGCTCCCTTTTAGACCAGACGCATCCCATACCGAGTACACTAAGTACCTAGTTGAAATTTGGCAAGAACACAATCTATCTTCAGACTTTTGTTTATTCTTTCATCAACAAATGAATATATATTTTGTACAGCAAAGATCCTATGACGTACTCTGCTCCTTACAGAGGGTTTTCTACTACTGAAGATAAGAGGGATGATTCAAGTCCTTTTATCTACTTCGGGGAACCACGCAGAAGTCATTGGAATGATGGGGCGATACTAGAGATTAAAAGGAGGAACAGTTCTCTCAGCCACATTATTTCAGAAAGTCATCAGTAGTATTCTATTGGCAATTCACTGCCAGCAGTGATTTAGAATAATGGCGCAAATTTACATATTAGCGAACCAGTGCAGCCATCCTGCCTGAGTGGGGAGCTATTCTTTGTGTGACCCCACAAATGGTGCACACTGGGGTCACAATTGGTGTATATGGGCTATTCTGGGGTTACAAGCATGCACCTCTGTAGACACAATTTTGATACCATTCCTGGGCTAAATTTGGTGCACAAATGTGACATAACGGGAGTATCACACAAATGCACCAACTGTAACCTTGGTGTAACATATTTGTTTACAAATGTGACCCTGAGTAATCCTGGTGTGAACACACAATTGGTGTATGTTAGGGATATGCATGTGCAACAGAAGAACTTTGGTACAATTTTTGGATCAATTTTGTGAAATCATTGTATTTTTCGATTCATCTGTAGATTTTTCAATTTGAAATGTTTGATTTTTGTACACAGGCAGCCGGATTTTTGCGGCTGGGCCTTCAACCTGCCCCGCGGGCAGGCCCTGTTGGACAAGTGGAACAAAATCCCCGAGGGCATAGATATTTTGCTGTCACACACGCCACCTGTTGGACACGGGGATCACACCATCACCGGCATCAGGGCCGGGTGTGTGGAACTACTCAACTCTGTGCAAAAACGGATAAGACCCAGATACCACGTGTTTGGACACATTCACGAGGGTTCGTGTTGAAATGTCTTTCATGCTTTCTCAATCCTGGTTTAGAATTATTTCTTTTGTCTTCCCTGTCTTTTGCTTCAAGTTTCGTTTTTCTTTTCGGCGATGGAGTTTTTTTTGTTGTTTCAGAGGTCATGGAATAATCGAGAAATTTAATTTTTCTAATTAGAAATTTATTCAATTTCAACCCTGACTTTGTGGCTCACTAAGAGACATTTCAGTGCAATCCTCGCAGAAATAGCACAAAAACGTCTCTTTAGAATAGGAAGATAATGAATTTTTTCATTTGTTCGATTCGCTGTAAAATTATCGAAAAGATTTTTTCAAAGTATTTGGTAGCACTTGCACTGATGGAAAGTTTGTGTAAACTGTATTTAATAAGGTAGAAATATTTTTTGAAATTACAATATTTCTAAATTTTGTGCATCCTGCTTTGAAAGACTTTCAAGTTTGAAGTAGTGGCTATGTTACGATTAAAAATGGAATGAGTCATAATGTACAGTATATAAATGCGCAAATATAAGACAGATAAAAAAATGTTTGAATACAAAATTGATGCAGAAATTTGGAATTTTAGCCTTTTTTTTTAAACAAAAAAGATTTGAATGCAAAATTGATGCAGAAATTTGGAATTTTAGCAAATTTTGGAAAAAAATTTTTGAGAAGAGTTTTGTGTGACAGAAAACTTGATTGCATTTCTTACGCAGGATGTGCTTCATTAAATTACTGTGTTGAGAATATCAACCTGTTCGAGCTGACTTCAGAAAATCAGTGAGAGAATTGAAAAATATCAAAAATTGATGGAAGCTCGAGATAGGTTAACTTTTTAGGGAAAACTTTATTTATTTACGCTTTGTTTTCGTTCTTGGAATGATTTTCATCAATTTTTTAGGCTATGGCATTACATCCGATGGAACGACGATTTTCATCAACGCCTCGACCTGCAACACGGGTTACAAACCACACAATTTGCCGATTGTGTTCGATATTCCTCTGCCCCGGGGGCATACCAAAAATACATGAACATGCGGTGTTATGCAACTAGTGTGCAACTCTGTTTTTATGCAATACACCTCGTCATTTTTCAAAAACGAAGCTTTTGCGTATTTTTGAAGGCGATCAATTTCACGAATTAAACGCATGTTTTCTCTTCATGTTTTTTCAGATAATGTTTCAGTGAACTGTGGTTTTTATTTTGTATTTTGTCGTCGAAATTATGGAGCCTCGAGGGCATGGATTCAGGGGTGGATACTCGCAAGGGCAGTCGAAACCGAAAGCGAAAAACAACAGCGTTCCGGACAGGTTGGTATGAATAATTGTGTTAATTGTTCTTTACAAATTGGATGCCTTCATGAGCGTTTGTTGAAAGACTTTTTTATTCTATTTTTCTGCAGATGGTTGGATTACTCGAATTTTGGCAGACAGATTCATGGGACTCCGATCGTTGCCTTGAAGGTTCCTCTGAGAGCTGTGAGTTTGTTCGCTTTATTTCATGGACTGTTTCGATTTGTTTGCAAATTTATCGGTAATACAGTGAGACCCCGATATGCGGACAATTAGGCTTAAGGACACTTGAAAAACCAAAAAATCAGGCCCATATGGATATTGAATATCATTTGGATATTGGCTCGAGTTAGGGACACTTTTCTGAAATTTTCCCAAAAAATCAAAATTATTTAATTTTTAATTTATGCTTTCTATTGAACAAATCATGCTACAGTATTTACATTCGCAGAATTGAAAAAATATGTCAGAATAAATTCACTCCAATTCATAATAAAAAGCAAGCTGATTTTGTGCTTCTTTTTTCTGTTTTTTTCTATCATCTTTGCATGTTCGAAGAACACTTCTTCTTTGCTTCTGTATCCTCTTTTTGATACCAAAAATCATATTCTATGTGGTTTTGTTCTGCAATGTTGTTTAATATGACTAGAAGCTTCAAGGGAAATAATTTTTCTTTATTGTTTTGAGGACTAATTTCTAATTTTTGACAAAAAGGAGAACCAATTAATTACATTAGCATTAAAGTTTGATGGGAAAATGAGACTCGACTTGGGGACATTCCAACATCAGGATACTCTTGATGCACCAATCATGTCCGAATTTGGGGGTCTCATTGTATTTATAATTTTACAGTTTGTTTGGAGATGTTGTTATGATAACGTTGATCAATTGCAATTAATTAAAAATAAAATTAGGAATTGGCAAATTTTCCACAATTTACTTACCAGGTGGGAGGAAAAATTGGGTGTGAATCAAACTCGGGTATTAATTTTTCAAAAAGTTTTACGAGTTCAGGTGTAAAAGTTCATTATAGTCGATTCTAATGGGATTTTTATTCACAATTTTCAACAGAACAACTCAATGTACTGGAAATGATTGATAATTGGTTGAATTCAGGTTCCATTTGTGTCTAAATTTGAATTTGCGTGTTATTATTTTTGGATTTTTCGTTTTTTACAGTCACTGAAAGTGTGGTGCGTGTCTTACTTGGGTATTCAATTATCAATTTTTATCAAGACTTTTTGACCGAAATACTTGTTAAAGCGAGGTACTTGAGTAAAGTACGGCATTCGTTTGGTATACCTTTTGTTGAAAATATGCGAAAATGAACTTGAGTGGATAATGAAATCTGTGATTGATTTATTTTTTCAGGAAATTGCGAATAAGGTTCCGGAAGATAAACGGTTTGGTCCGACTGACGTGCTTGAACAGATTCAGAATCTTGGAATGGTGCTTGATTTGACTGCAACTCAACGTTACTATGACCCGCAATTTTTCATGAGTCAAGGAATAAGGTGAGAAATAGAAAAATGAACAGTTTTTTTGTTGTGGGAACCATGCCATTTTTGTTGCCGATTTTTTGTGCTTGTCCCCACATAACGAATGAATCCAGTAACAAGAAAACCGCATTAAGAATTTCTTAAATGAAGAAAAATGTATTAATCTGCATGAAAACAATTGAGAACTTTGTGAACATAAATGAGCTTGAATTCCAAGAATTGATCGTATGTACCCTGAAGCATGATTTTTTTTAAAACCAAATTTCAATTGTGATTGTCAATCATAACATAGATTAGAAAAATTTAGAGAACTGTATATATTCAGAGACAAAAAGTACAGCAAGTCAAGAGAAGAGCTGAGTCTGATATTTTTCAGTGTGAAAACAGTTCTGCAGAAGCAATTTTATTAAATTGAAGCACTTGATTTGTGACTTGTGGAATTATAAAGTTTTTCAAAAACTTTTCTTCTGTGGAACAAATACCATTTTTGAATGAAACCTTGAGGTAATTTTCATAAATGTAGCGGTTTTTGCTCATTCAAAAATCCTTGAACATGCAGTACTGTATAGTATTTAGTTTTGCCATGTGGGAATCCACTTGATGTACCATTATCTTGGCAATTCTTTTTACACACTATTCTGAAGAAGCCAACCTTGCAAAAATAAATTTCAGTGATGGCACCTGCATTATTTATCTCAACATACTAGTTTCCTGAAGAAAAAAAGACTGGTAAAGTACCATCTACAGTATGTTGTTGAAAATTTTTGAGAATAGTATCCCCTATAATAAAGTTACTTGCGTTCGTAAGTGTGTGGGACCTCACCTCTCTTACTTTTTACTTAGGGCTATTTACGAAATCCGAACTCCCTCCCACAGAGCCCCCAGTGAGGCCTGCAGGAGGTTCCCGTTTCCCGGCGTCTTGCCTTTCAAAATTTGGCAAAAAATGAATTTTGAAGCAAACTTCATTTTGAAAATGGTATAAGCAGCGCCATGATGTTTCCTACATTTCCTTTTTTTAAAGTTTGAAAAAGCTTCAAAATTCACAAAGTTACAGTGAAAAGCGCAAAACATTTTTCAAAAACNATTATTGGACAACATTGAAACCTAAGATAGAAGAGTGAAATACTCTGTTTTATTTTATATATATTTTTTAGTGAAGTATTGTTTTTGAAGCATTTTAGGTACATGGCATGAGCATACAAATACCACATGCCTACAGTGGGATATTACCAATGTAATCAGTTGTAAACAGGTGGCCCTGCACTGTCTTCTTGGTGTATATGTGCTCTATGTATTGGACATTTTAAAAATGCAAGTAAAATTCTAAACATGATGCCCAGGTGTGGCTGGGCACCCCCAGCTTGTCTTGTAAAAAAGCTTCTTACTGGTGGTACCCTCTCTCCTTATGAAAGTGCCATAATCAAAATAAGAGTGCCACCACCAGTGTAAGAAAGGTTCAGGATCCTTGAAAATAATGCATGTCTTTCCTTAGTGGTTTGCTTATTTTATTTTTGCTTTACACCATCTCCGTAATAATAAATGGCAATTCTAATAAATATGGCATGATAATGAATGGGTGCCACAGCTGTATATTTATGCGAGAAAGGCATCTTTATTTGTCCTGGTGTATTTATCAAGATGCCACTTGATGAAAAGGCAACCTCATCATTGGGCTCAATTACTTGTGTTTAGATTGTTGTTATTCCAACTGCAAGCGACATCTAGTCAAGTTATCCTGGATGTAAATGAAGTTTGGTTTCCATTGTTCAGGTATTTCAAGCTGGTGTGTGAAGGACGCGTGATCCCTGGAGCAGACACAGTGAGAGCCTTTTTCGCCCAAATGGACGGCTTCCGGAATGACCCAGGAATGCGGGGCTGTGTGATTGGAGTGCATTGCACGCATGGTGTCAACCGCACTGGTTATCTCATTTGCAGATACATGATCCAAAGACTGGGACTCTCAGCTCAGGAAGCCATTCAGAGTGAGTTAATTGTGACCGGAGAATGAACTGGAAGCCCTTTGTGAATGAAAATTGTATCCTTGAGATCAGACTTGGTCTAGACCTGTGCAAAGCTTTTGTCTAATTGCAATACTGTAGTTGTAGAAGTTGAGTGAACAAGAAAATTGTTGAATGAATTAAAATTCTTCACGTTCATAGACCTGTCATCTGGGGTGACACCTCTGTTGATAAAAGCTGTACAGTTCTCATGAAATTAGTTTTGGCCAAGACCTTTAAAATGATTTTATAAAACTTACAAGATTGTATCAATGTATTGAGTAGGAAATATTTTATTGAATGAAAATCCTTCAGATTTGCAAAAGTCTGCTCCTGTGTTGGAAAAAAATAGAGCTCATCTGTGAAAGCTGTGTCCCAAAAATTAAGTTCGGTCATAATCTGTGAAATGCAATTACAAAACTGTGTTTGTGACTGTATGGTGAACAAGAAAATTAATAAACAAATTATATTCTTCATATTTGTAGAACTGCAAATCCGTTTTTGTCTTCTGGTATGAACACCTGTTGATGGAATCTGTACAGTACAGTATCTGCAAAATTAAACCTGTCCAAGACTAGAATTATAGAATACATATTATAAATATCAATTGAAGGATTTCTTTGAAATATGTGTTGAAAAGGAATATACAGTATTATTGAATGGGAATAAGATCTTTATCCTTAACAGTGCTCTTGGCCAAAATGATCGACATTTTTTAACCTTTCAAAATTTAAATGGACAAAATAAATGAGGAAAATACAGTGGGTATTTTTACTCTCTCAGTGAACCAGAATTTGTGATTTCAGTGTGAAAAGAAGATAGCTTCAATATTCCTTTACAAATGAGTCATGATGAACTTGAAGTCAAAGTATTTATTTGAAAACATACTTTCTTTGAATGACCCTTATACGTTGAAAACTAGGAGGGTACATGTTTAGGAAATAAAAACACACTGTAAAAATACATGTTGGACGTAAATTAACTTAGGGATCTTTTTCAGAGTTTGAAGCTGCAAGAGGGCATAAAATCGAGAGACCGCTGTACGTCGATCATCTGTCTGAGTTGGGGTGCACTTCAGTTCAACCTTCCCCGAGGTAATGTTGTTGGAAATTTGTCAAAAATTTGAAAGCTTCATGTGAGACAATGTTTGCTGTTTTTTTTTTCTTTACAGGTACGATGGCGGTTCGAGTTTCCGAGGAGGCGCCAAGGTCCCGTGCCCAAAACCTGCACGCTCGTCTATGCTTGGGCCACTTAGTACCGCAAGTGCACCGTTCACTAAAACTCCTTGCACCGTTTTTGGGGGCGTTAAGCGTCCTCTAAAAACGGCCAGCTGGACCTGTACTTTCGGGATTATTATTTTTATTCATTTTTCATCACTCGGTTTGTTCATCTCACGGCCTACAACCTGCGGTGAAAGTACCGACGAAAAGCCACGGTTGAACACAGTATGGTAGCTCAGACGGCAGGCGAACTTAAAAAGCTAAACCTCCCGTTACGACTTGATCATTAGTGGATTTTTCTGCTCCATGCATAAGATAATGTGGGATTTTATGGCGTAATATAACCTATGAAAAAATTACATTTTCATGACGTAAATGCTTTATTTATCGCATGGAGCAGAAGAATCGGTTCATTAAGGAATCTTCCGTATTGCCCTTTAATTTGATGAGGGAGGGTGGATGGTGGGCTTGAGGTTTTGGCACGGTCCGACATTCGGCTCTATTTGTTTGGCTCACTGGAAAAAATGAGTCCAATTTACTTACTGTAAAAATTTCATTACAGATAATTAATATTTAATAACCTATAATAACCTTTAATAACTTTTATTTTATTTTTTTTATTATTATTTCTCTATTTTAATATTGTTTCTCTATTGATATTGTTTCTATAATATTCTAGTACTAGTATTTTAATATTGTTTCTCTATTAATATTGTTTCTATAATATTGTTTCTATAATATCCTAGTATTTTAATATTATTGGATTGTTATTTTTTGAAAAAAAGGATGTTTGAATATACCGCCTATTGTATTTTTGATTTTCATATTCTACTGTATTTTTCTTTCCTTTTCAGAGGTTGGTTTCAATTTCAAGTTTCTGTATTATTAGAAAGTAATTAGGGATTAGTATTATTAGGAACTTGAAATGTCCATATTTGTTGGTGGACAGATATGGTTTGACATCTGAAATCCTACCCACTTTTCAAGATCAACAGACAGATATGGACATTTCAAGTTCCTCCTTTTAAACAATAGAAAAGGAGAAACTTGAAATGAAAATGTCACCTCTGAAAAGGTGTCTACAACAACCTGAAAGGAAAGAACATTTGCTGAACTCGGGTTTTTATGTTGAAACCCACCGATTGCGAACAAGGAATAAATCGGTTCCAAAACATTAAATCCCTCACAACCCTTCTCAAGGCTGACTGCAAGTCCAATACCAATAATGCAAGAACAGTGAAGCTTTTTAAACTTTACATCAAAATCCCACCCATCACTCATACGTCTCTCAACGAATCCATCGGGAGAGACGAAAAAAAAAAGAGAGCAGCAGAAACGAGGGAACTTACATATAGGAGTTTGAAATGATTGGTTGATTGATTACAGTCTTGCACAAAACAAAGCGAAACATGCGTCTCCTTCTTCAGCGCTTGGCCCTGTCTGCAGCACGCACATACACCTGTCCTCCATTCGCAGTCCATTCCTTCTCAAATTCATGCTCCAAAATCTCTGCTCCTTTCTTCCTGGTCAGGCCAGTTTCCTCCAGGGCCAGTTCACACATTTGCATGTCATCCTTGCCTGGAAACAAAACAAGACCAGACACATACATACTGTATATAGTACTCATCAGAGGGAAGACAAGACAAATAAACTATGGTTCTCACCAGCAACAAGCAAGAGGGGGCTTTTGTCATCATGCAGCTCCATTTGTCTGGCAATGTATTGTCCATCAAAGTGGGCAAACCACCAGCCCTTTTGGCCAGAGGTTGACACCATGACCTTAGTCTGCTCTTCTTCTGCGTTGGGCCTCAGGAAGGGGATCCTGAAGTACCTTTGGTCTCCCACTGAGAGTCCACCCACTCCATTGGCCAGCTTGGCTTCCACAAATTTTGCTGCAAAAAGAATAATTTTTCTGTTGACCACCAGAAACACACAGGAAAAAACATTGTCTCCATTGAAACACAGCAGATTAAGAAATAACAAGAACAATTACTTGCAATTTTTGTTAGCCCTTGAATTGCCAGTATATTTTCATGAGCATACATGATAATAATTATTGCATAATTATTGCATTATTTCTCCTTTGATGGATGAAACTGCATCCATTTTAATTTTTAAAACTTTAATTGACAAATCAACAACACATTAATGTATATTTGATGGGGGTAGAATCCAGTTCAAGACATATAGAATTGGTGGTACTTATGGGTGCTGAAAAAGCTCATTCTGAATGTGATGAAATTGGCACATAGAAGGGCAGATGAAGTTTATATTTTGAGAGCATATGGATCAGAAGATATTAAAAAAAAAATATCTCACCAGCTTCCAAGATCATTGGAGGAGCCCTTTCAGTCTCTTCTCCAGAGTTCCTCTTCTTGTTCCTCGCCTTCCACGCGTGGTACACTTTCAGGCGACGATGGAACTCCACTCTGCAAGCCTGTATATTCATGTGTGTGAACCAACAAAATGTCAATAAAATGATCAAAGGAATAAAATAGAATGCTGGTGGACTCACTTCGAGAAGATCCAGATCACATGAAGTGTTGATGGTGTCTCTCAACTCGGAATACTTCCACTTGGACAAGTCATGCTTGGAGGTGTTGGGATGCATGGTACCATTCTTGATCCCTGGAGCCCGTGCCAAACGTGGAGTGCTGGCAGCTGAGGACAACTGAGGATTGCCCAAGTCATCCACCTGCAGCATATCGCAAAAGAAAATTTTCATAAAAACTCAAATAAAACTCAAAGTGCTACATAGGAGGGCACACATTTTGACTTATTTTGTTGTTGTAAAAGGGCACTGGGTTTACATTTTTAAATACAGTACAGCACCAAGATCAACTTTCCATAGTTTGGAACTAGGGAATTTTACTGGATGAGAGAATCTGAGGAAGACTTATTGACTGTGTATTTGTTCAATATATTGGGATGTATAGTGTACAGATATATAATTTTTACATGATACCTAAAACAAAAAACAAAACTTCTGAAATTTTCACTGAAAGAATAAACTACTGAAAAACCCTTAGGGATCATCACTGAAAAAAACTTCTGAAGTTATGTCTGAATTGTAACTGCTACAATCATAACAGAAGTAAATTTGGAATTATAACTGAACAACTTGAAATTATCACCATAAAATTGAAAAAATGAAATTTTCACTGAAATATAGAAATTATCATTGATTGGAAGTTTGAAATCATCACAGAAGAAACTATTGAGGTAACCACCGCCAAAATTGAAAGAAACACTGGAAAAATGGAAAAAATGCTGAAAAAAGAAAATAAGGAATAACCTTGAAATAAAGTATTCAAAATGCTAATAAGCAAATATTCAATGAGACATTTCAAATAATAATAAAATGAATTTTGAAATGATAATTAAATAAATTTTGAAATAATCATTGCAATAAATTTCTAAATCAACAATGAATAACTTGAAATCATCAGTGAACAAAGTTTTGAAGTTACCATTGGAAAAAGTGGAAATAATCTCTGAAAAAATGATATTATTATTTGAATAATTGTTGGAATTATTACTTGAATAAATTTTGGAATTATTTAAATACATTTTGAAATTATAATTTAAATAAATTCTGAAATCGTCAGAATAAAGTACAGTATTCAATTCATCACAGATATATGCTTAAAAATTTTAATGTGTTCTTTGTTTATTTTAGAGTGAAAGGCAAATACTGACCTGAGTCCCCATTTCATTGGCCAGCCTGAGGGCCAGCTCATGGTCCCTGCGCTCCTGCTCCAGCTGCTGCCGGGCCAGCTGGTCCTCTTCAATTTCCTTCTTCTTCAATGCATCCTCCCCAATCTTGAGCTTCTTGGCAGCAAGCTCACTCAACTTGGCCTCCTCTTCTTCCTTCTTGCGCCTGGCTTCCATCTCAGCTTTCCTAATATAGAAAACAAATTATGTTTGAATTATTATTTAGATAAATTTGGAAACTATTATTTAAATACATTTTGAATTCATCATTCAAATACATCTTGAAATTATTATTTAAACCAATTTCGAAATTATCATTCAAATTAATTTTGAAATCATCATTCAAATGAATTTTGAAATTATCATTCAAATGAATTTTAAATATACTATCATCCAAGATTCATAAATTTTAATTTCTATACAACATTTCTTTCTTTCTTTTTTTTTAATTGAATTTTATGAAAATTTACTTCTTTCTGTTTTCTTCCTCCTCTCTCTTCTTCCTGGCTTCTTCCTCTTCTCTCTTTCTGTTGAGCTCCATCTGCTCTTGGATCTTGCGCAAACGCTCTTGTTCTTCAGCACTCTTCTGCTTCTCCAGCTCTGTCTTGAGAGCTGCCAGCTCTTTGTTCAAAATGGCCACCAAAGTAGCGTGTTCCTTGTCTATCTCTTTCTTGGTGATCTTGGGATTTGCCTAAAAGATGTAAAAAAATGCTGGATCATTTATCAATGAATGAAATAAATATTATCACTGAAAAACTTCAAATAATCACTAAAATGTATTTACACCAAGCTTATTTTTGCCTGGCTTCTATCTCACTGTCAAGCTACCATTAAAATCTGTATAATCACTGAGAATATAGAAATTATCATTTAAAAATATTTTTAAAACAGAATAAGCTGTTCAATTCATCACATGAAAAAAATTGGATCTTAGCTTGCTGGCTTCCACCTCCTTCATAGTGAATATATAATACAGTGGTCTGGCCAAGTTTTCAGTGAGATTATAAAAAAATTATTTCATAAAGATAAGATTTTTGTATCTCTGAGTGCTGCTTCCCTTCAATCTAATCTTTCTTTTGACCCCATAAAATATACTGTACTGAGTTTTTGTAACAATTTAATATTCATATACTGTTGTAAAATTCAAAAAGCTTCTACCCTGAAAAATGTTTTTTTTACTCTAGACTATATCTATAGGATCAAAAATTTTAATTTGACAAACAATTTGGTGTTTTAAGGATAAATTGAAATGATGACTGAATAAATTGAAATGATTGACTAAATTGAAATGACTGAATAAATTGAAATAATGACTGAATAAATTGAAATGATGACTGAATAAATTGAAATGATGACTGAATAATTTGAAATGATGACTGAATAAATTGAAATGATCACATAAAAGTTTGAGAAAAGTTCTGACCATCAGCAAATAAAATTTGTACATCAATCAATCAATCAATCAATGGAAAGAGTTGCATATTCCAGTGTGAAAAGAGAGTCTGCTAGGAAAAATTACCCTGATCTTCTTGATGGTTGAGTTGAGGTTGGCATCCATCTGAGCCACAATTTTGGCAGAGTTGTCCCTATTAGTCTTCAGTTGGCTCACAATCCTGCTCATCTGACTCACATTGTTCTGAGAATGCAAGGAAAACAAATTGTAATTAGAAGAAAAAAGGGTGGCACAGTACCCTAGCTCTCAAATGTTACCAACCTTTAGGTCTTTGATTCTCATGATCCCCAAGTAGCGAGGGCGGTGTTGCTTCTTGGCTTGGTGCATCCTCACAGTCTTTTGAATAATCACTAGGTTCTCCTTCCTGAACTTGATCTTGTTCTTCACTGAAATCCATAAAATGAAAAATAAATAAATAAATGCAGATTAATTACATTACATTACAGTAATGTAAAGTCAACTCCTTGAAATACTGAATCATTCCAACAAGGTCGAACAATATTCCAGAAATTTGAAAACAAAACAACAACAAAACTGCTCAATTAATTTTTGAATTCTTGGTGTGGGAAACTAAGGCAACAAAATTGTCCAAAAAGACCAAGCTTGATGAAAAGAAATCCTTGAATTCCAGCAAACTTTCTAAACAGTATATTTAAATTTTTGAAATTTCTTAAAAATCAAGGCAAAGATTGTGTAAAAGAAAAAAGAGTGAAAAATGAGTAAAAGTCCAAAGGAAAATGAGTATCCACTTAAGATACATTCTTGATGCATCAATTGCATCCACATTCCAATCAGGGCCTCACAGTACAGAACAGTAATGAATGTACATCAGTACACAGAAGAAAAAGAAGTAAAAAAAAAGACAACTTACACTTGATGACCATCAATGTTCCCCACATGGCCTTTTTCCAGCGCGAGCAAAGCAACCACCTGTGCACCTTCTTCACCAGGGCAGCCAGGTTTTCAGGGTCACTCTTGAGCATTTGGTCAAATTCTGCAAACTTTCCAGCTCTGAAGAACACCTTGGTCATGCCAAACTTGAAGTCATGCTCATTGAGGCCCAGTGCCCTGAACAGGGCCTTGCAAAACATCCTGGGATTCAGGGAGGCCAGCTTGCCAGGCAGGTACTTTTGGTACATGTCAAACAGGCTCTGGAAACCAGTTCTGGAAAGACAATTTTCAACAACAAAAATTATTTCCAGAAACAATTTTCATGCAACACAGGTGTGCCATCTGTTGAATCAAGCAACAAAATCATTTGACAATATTGGATACTGTACATTATTGCAGATTGAATACCTTTGTCTTCTTCAACAAATTTCATGTACAGTGTCATTCTTAAAACTGTAAATTATTACTTACAAGGAATTACAATATTATGGTCATTTTTGGTATAAAGGATTTCCAACAATGCAAAATTTTCAAGAAATTGGCAAGTAAGTAATTTTTATTGATTAACCTGCCCTAATAGAGAAAATGTATGCATACAAAAATAATAGTTCAAAAGACTTGCCTAGAGGGATATCCTTGCTGCATGAGCTCCAACACACTGCCCATGCCTGCACATTGCAGCTGAGACAAGATGGCACCACCATCAAACTCTCTGGACACCATCCTGACATTGGGCTTGATGCATCTGATGAAGCTGGTACCCTAAACAGCAAATATGGAATTGAAAAAATAATAAAAACTTTATGGCCCAAAATAAAAATGAAGCAAGTGACATGAAAACAGTTATGTGTTGAATCCATAGGAAAAAAATCAAAACTTGTTATTTGCTTGAGTAATAATTTTTTTGAAATACTGTTATTTTTATGATCAAAAAGGAATGAGGATAATTTACACCTCAATTTCCCTGGGATTTTCTTCTTGGTTGCCAATTTCATTTAGCAAAAGGTGGAAGTTGGCAAGCTATTTTTTTCTACCTTCAGTGACTTGCTTTCAGATAAGTCTGAAATTCTGCATCAGTTTCTAATTTGTTTTTGAAAGAGCCTTTAATCTTATTTATTTTAAAATTTATTGCTTTTTTCTATGATTTCTCTAAAAATGAAGAATTCCTTGAAAACATTCCACTTTTTGGAAATATTGTAGGAAGCTTTTTTTGGTTCCTTCAAAACTTGACCACCGTTTTTTTATTTTTACAGTTTTTCTCCAATTTATGCATCTATTATTGACAGATGAATGTTTCTGCCATGATTCTTTTGAGCTTTGGTCCTAGTCTTCTTTTTTAATTAAGGCCTTTCTCTAAATCCTGAAAATTTACACAATTGAAGATTTTCGATTTTTCTTTGAACTTTTAAAGTTATTTTCAGTAGTATTTCTTCTTCCTTTATTCTAAATTTCTCCTCAAGTGAAAATATTTTTAGGATGATTTCTTTTAAACTTAATCCCACTTCCAACATTATCTTTCTATGAATTATTCCATCATTTTCTTGAATAAAGATGTTTTCAATGATTTCATCCTTCAAACATTTCAATTTAAAACAAAAAAGACTCACATTTCGGCAGGAATTCATCAAAAATTTATGCATAAAATGCATTTAGCAAAAGTTATGTACAGTATTATCACAAGATATACACTGCAGCTGTATCACATTGAGATTAAATGCCAAGATAATTCTAGAAAATTTTAAAATGTTTCTCTCACAGTGGAATGCAGCTTCTCCATGAGCTCCTCCAGCTGGCCCCTGAACTTAGTGGCCACAGAGATGTAAGTCAACTTGCCCTTGTTCAAGTTGACATCGGATCCGTCAAACAGGGCCTGGAGAAAATCGTTTCTAGACTCCGACATCAGCGCCTCTAGCGACGTGTGCAAGGCATCATTGTTCTTGTCAATAAACTGCGCCTGTCAAATTGAAAGAGAGAAAAAAAAATTACTTGAATGAAGTGCAGCTGAAGAAAATCTCGTCACAAAAGATATGCATTTGAAAAAAAAATCTTTGCTATAATGAAAGGAAATAAAAAAATAAAGACAGAAAAAATCTCATTAAATCTCAAAAATCAAACAACATTTTGCTTCAAAAAATATTGTTATACACAAATTTTCAGTTTAATTCAGCAGAATTTCGTTAAAACGAATCAATGCTGAATAATAAAGACTACAGTATTCTTCAATAAATCCCTATTTTGAAAGAAAAATATAATTTCATAAATACCAGTAATCATTTCCATATAAAACGAATTTTTCCTTCTAATCAGGTAACCATCAAAAAATTTGCAACAGAGAAGAGAGGAAAAATCTTTTACTTTTCAATGGCTGAAAATTTTTTTTTTTCAAATTCCTGCAAATAATAAGGTTTCCAGCATGGATTGCCTCATAATTATTGCTTGAATAATCCACAAAATAATCATTATTTTTCAGCATAAAATGAGGTCAACAATCATCAACTGGGCACAAATAAGTAATTTCTTTCTTCCTGCTCATATGAAAAAGGTTCAAATTCCAAACAATTAAAAAAAAAAGGTTTCCAGCAATTGCTTCAAATTAACACAAGGATAATTTACAGAGAATATTTATTTATTCATTCATTCAATTTTTTTCTTTTCTTACAGTGTGGTAACACACAGCACCAGCAAAATGGCGCACAATGAAGCCCTCCTCGTCCCGCAGTTCCCGGTGCTGCTTGAGGCGGGACCTCCTGGGCAGGGCCAGCCGGAAGTGCTGGCCATGGTTCTGGTGCACAGCTGCCGTGAAGTGGGCCGCACTGGACTTGGGCAACTTGCCTTCTTCGTTGAGGAGGTCAATGATGCCAGTGGCCTTGGCCTCCAGCAAATCTACAAAAATAACAGGACACACACACACACACATGAAATCATCAAACAAAAAATAAACTTAAATGCATTAATTATTACAATTATTTTATTAATTATTAAACATTTTTCAAAAGTCAACTTTCAAGAGATGCAAAAGAAAAATATCATAGTTAGGTTTTTGAGTAAATGAAAATGGCCTAATTAGCTACTGGCTAATCCATTAAAAGGATTTCCTTTCATGAAAAGGAAAGAAAAAATAATAATTAACAAATGATAATAATAATAATCATTAAAATATAATAATCATTACAATATAATAGTCATTACAATATAATAATCACTACAATGTAATATTCATTATAATATAATAATCATTACAATATAATAATCATTACAATCTAATAATCATTACAATATAATATTCATTACAATATAATAAATATAATACTCATTAAAATATAATAATCATTACAATATAATACTTATACATAGAATAAATTATATATATTTATGATATAGATAATTATTACTTATTATGATACTGTAATAACAACTTATTATTTTTTAAATTAACATAATGTTCAGAATGCAGGAAGTTGGCAAAACACTTTGTGAAAAGCATCACTAAAAAAACATTTATATGTTACAAGGATATCCTGGAATAATTCTAAAAATATTTAATAATTTTTCAGATGTATTCCACAGACAAGAAATTGGCAAAAACCTTCATGAAAAATATTAATGCTGTCCAAAAATATGCATGTGTTCTGAAATTTTAAGAGCACAGGGAAAAAGGAACATTTGACTTGGGGAGGCTAAAAGTGTTGAGTTAGGGAGGTTCAAAATGAATCATGGTCTTTAAAGGGGTCTGCCAAAACTCAAAACTCCTGGAAATTTGATTTTTGGAAGGTTTAACAGAGAACAAGGTCCAAAATGTTTTGGGTTCAAAAACTCTTCTTAAAATAAGCCTGTAACTCTAAGTTGCTCAATTTATGATCAACAGTACTATAAAGTGGTTCTGATGTACTTGAAAAAATGTCTTTTATAAACTGCTGAACAACTTTTTAATGTTACTCATCAAAACTCAATGATTTGAAGGAAGAAACAGTTTCAAAGAAAAGTCCTGCTCCTTGTAATCTATAGGTTGCATGGAAACTTACACAATTATCTCAGAAAATATTTTTTTGCTCAAGCGACATCTATCTCATGATGAAAGAGAGCAACATCACTAGTTCAACATTCTAATCCATCAGGGTGACTCACCAATGCAGTCCTGATTGTCCACATAGTCAATCTTGGGTACATTCAGGCCCTCTTTAGAGTACAAGGCTTGTTCATCATGCAAAACCCTCTCATTAAAAAACATCTGCAGCTTCTCATTGCAGTAGTTGATGCAGAACTGCTCAAAGCTGTTCACAGGAAAATATTCTGAAAAAAAATACAGTGAATTGGTTAGTTCACATTCTTTCAGGAAAAAAGATCAACCATAAAATAATTTCTACAATTTTTGCAAATCATGCACAAAACAAGTGTCCTCATTTTTAATATATGTTTAACCATCTATACCAGTGTTGCCAACCTTTTTGGGTCTACAGACTTCCAAATTCCTGTAAAAAAAATTTTGCTTACCAGCAAATTCCCATGAATTTTTCTTCAGACCAGCAAAGTTTCATTAACCTTTTGCAAACTCAAAAAAGGTTTGCTTGAAAGACTTTATGGCACTTTGTCTGCTTTTTGCAAAAATAAAGTTGGGAACCAATGAAGCAGCTTCATCAGGTAATGACATTCAGTGGAATGTTTTAAAATAAATTAGAAAGGTGGACTTGAAGAAATAAGGTTTCTCAGAATGAAAAACTAAAATAATTTATTTCAGCAGGTGAACATTTGTAATAAGTATTACTAGGAGAAAAGTCAACTTTCATTTCCCATATTGGATAATTTCAATTGCCATTTAGTGTCTTTCCAAAATTTCAGATAAAGATAACAGACTTCATAACTACTTTTTATAAATTTATTATGCTGAAAAAAAATTGTCCTGCAGACCAGCAAAAAACTTCTATAGAACAATGCCACACTGTAGATTAACTGATGATTTAAAAATAATGTATCCGCATTCAATATATATGTATATATATATATATATTTTTTTTTTGCAGACCAGCAAAAAACTTCCATATATATATATTTTTTTTTTTGCAGACCAGCAAAAAACTTCTATATATATATATANGAATGGACCTATTGATCTTGTTGACAATGTAGTCAAAGAGCTTGGAGTAGACGGCCTTGGCCAGGGCGTCCCTGGCACTGGTGGCCTCCCAGGGCTTGAGTGGCACCATGATGATGGTGCCCTTGTAGCCGCCCTTGGCTGTTTGCATGACCCTGGAAAGCAGGGCCTGTTGCAACTCGCCGGCGTTGACGCCCAGCAGGGACGCCGCTGCAGCCAGAGCCGCCTCTGACCCGGCCGCCACTCGACAGCCGCCTCGGGAGTCGTCGGGGTTCTCTTCGAAGCTCACGTTGCCCAGGTGCAGGACGGCGGCGACGGTGGAATAGATGGAGAGGCGCTCTGGCTCAGTGACGCTGAAGGTTTGCAAGGACTAAAATTGGCACAAGAAAAAAAAAACAATTGTAATAAAAATTTTTTTGACTTCATCAGGTTTTTTTTCCTCAATTATATTTTAGATATGGGAAAATCAGGATTAAAATAGCTGTTCTGAAGGGATAAATTGGGGCATTGAAATAAACTTCCAATAGTCATTTGCAAGGACTAAAATTGGCACAAGAAAAAAAACAATTGTAATAAAAAAAATTTTTCATCATGTTTTTTTTCTCAATTATATTTGAGATATGGGAAAATCCGGATTAAAATAGCTGTTCAAAAATGGGATAAACTTGGGCATGGAAATAAACTTCCAATAGTCATTTTCAAACACTAAAATTGGCACAAGAAAGAAACTATTGTCATAAAAAAAATTTTGACTTCATCATGTTTTGTGTTCTCTATTATATTTTAGATATGGGAAAATCAGGATTAAAATAGATGTTCTAAAATTGGATGAATTGGGGCATGGAAATATACTTCCAATAAAGTCATTTGCAAGGACTAAAATTGGCACAAAAAAGAAAAAAATTGTGTAAAAAAAATATCTTTTCTTCAAATTTTTCAATGCACTTGATCAGGTTTATTTTTTTCAATTATATTTGAGACTTGGAAAAATCAGGATTAAAGTACTTCTTCTAAAATAGGATAAATTGGGGCAAGGACTAAAATTCGCACAAGAAAGAAAGCAAAAGTTAAAAAAAATTTCAAATGCACTTGACCAGGTTTATTTTTTCAATTATATTTGAGACATGGGAAAATCAGGATTAAAATACCTGTTCTAAAATGGGAAAAATTGGGACATGGAAATGAACTTCTCAAATGAAGACAAAAAATTGCAACACATAAAAATTGACAAAATTTGAATAAAATGTCAACCTTCAGTCAAGGACTTTGAAATGTATGTTGACCTCTTCAAAGCTCCCTTTCAACCAGGAAATCATTCTGTTGAACCAGGAAATGTTGGTAAGTAGACCAAAATGAGAGTAATTTAAAAAATTGCTTGCACATTTTTAAATTCGCTTGACTATAGTTGAGTAACTTGATGTCAGATATGTTGGGTCATTCAAGATTTTAAAAAAATCAAGGTTGAAGTATCTGTTCAATAAAATAGGAGAAATCAAGACTTGGAAAGAAACTTCTCAACTATTAACAAAATATGCATTGTACCAAAATCTGAATTTGAATAACATTTAAACTATTATTCAGAGTCTTCAAAACACGTTTTTTCCTCCTTACAGATCATTTTTCTCAACTTGAAAAACCTTTTCTCTTCTCCTTGAAAAAGCTTCTTTACAAATTAAATAAAAGCATGCTGTATTAATTAAAATGTAAATATTTGTTTTCACTATATTGGATAGGGACCTTTATTCACTATTTTTAATTTTCAAGGTTCTCTCTTAACCATGGACATTTTAATTTTTATCTAAAAAAAATTTATTTCAAACTAATTGGGTATGCCAAAAATCATTGCACTAAAATTTGAGAGAAATTGAAAATCCATTAAAGATGGTTCAATTAAGATGTAAACACATTATGAGCGTATATGGGATAACCATTATTATTCTTGCACAGTCCTTGGCATCATCCAGATTATCAAGTTTTTATTCAGCATACAGTACTTTAACATATGTCATAAATGAGACCAGCAAAATCAAGCAGTGGATCATCATGATTTAAAAATACTTTTTCAGTCCAGCAGATTTCACTAAAAGAACATAAAATGAGACCAACAAACCTTGTCCATTCTGGCAAAGTCCTTGGCATCATCCAACAGAGGGTCATGCAACCCACCACCACTGGCACCCCTGCCAAAGAACTGGGTGCAACCCTTGTTCAAGTACTGGTACTGGTCAGGCATGCCAAGTCTCAGTTGCTTCCTCAGGGCCTCAGGGGCACCAGCACAGAGTTGGTAGAAAATGTGGTAATTTCTCTCCTCGGGGCTTTGGCCACAAATCCTGGATTTCTCCAGCAAGTAGTGAGAAATGTAGCCACCAACAACCAGTTGCTTGTCTGAGAAGTGGATCTCTATGAACTTGCCAAAACGCGAGGAGTTGTTGTTGCGCGTTGTTTTGGCATTGCCAAATGCCTCCAACACTGGATTGGCTGAAAAACAACACCCACAAAAATACTCTTCACTCAAATAAAATTATAAAAAAAGAAGTTCAAGACAAGACATGAATGTTAAAAAAAATTAAACCCCTGGCAAAAGAATATTTTCAATCTTTCCTTGGTTAAATCAACAATGTTTCAAAATTTATCAACAGTAGCAATGAAGTCAGTTATCTTTATCTGAAATTTTGGAAAGACAATGTCAGTTGAAATTATCCAATGGAAAATAAAATTTGGCCTTTCTAATTATGACACTTTTTCACAAATTTTTCATCAGCTGAAATGAATTACATAATTTAGTTTTTATCATTATGAGAAACATTTCTTCAAGTGTACCTTTCTAATTTGTTTGAAAGCATTCCACTGAAGCTGCTTCATTGGTTTTCACCTTAATTTTTGCCAAAAAGCAGAAGTTTTTTAATAACTGCCATAAAGTCTTCTAAACAAAACTTTTCTGAGTCTGCAAAACTTTTTATGGCAATTTGCCAGTCTGAGGGTTCAAAAAGGTTGGGGAGCATTGGTTTACAGGATCCTGACCCAAAACCATGTTTTCAAAGCTCAGTAAAGACTTCTGAACCTATCCATGATTAGTTTTGGTCAGGTTTATTGCACTTTCTCTCTTATATGGTTTACTTACAGCAAACTGAAAATATAATACAGTATATATATATATATTTTTTTTTTTTTTGCAGACCAGCAAAAAATTTCTGTGGAACACTGCCATTGTAGATTAACCGATGATTTAAAAATAATATATCCTCATTCAATATACATATATATATATTTTTTTTCTTTTTTCTTTTTATTTCCACCAAATACTCACCAAAGCCAGCAATGTCCAAGACCCCGATATAATGAGCAGAAGACTGGAAAGGAATGGACCTATTGATCTTGTTGACAATGTAGTCAAAGAGCTTGGAGTAGACGGCCTTGGCCAGGGCGTCCCTGGCACTGGTGGCCTCCCAGGGCTTGAGTGGCACCATGATGATGGTGCCCTTGTAGCCGCCCTTGGCTGTTTGCATGACCCTGGAAAGCAGGGCCTGTTGCAACTCGCCGGCGTTGACGCCCAGCAGGGACGCCGCTGCAGCCAGAGCCGCCTCTGACCCGGCCGCCACTCGACAGCCGCCTCGGGAGTCGTCGGGGTTCTCTTCGAAGCTAACGTTGCCCAGGTGCAGGACGGCGGCGACGGTGGAATAGATGGAGAGGCGCTCTGGCTCAGTGACGTTGAAGGTTTGCAAGGACTAAAATTGGCACAAGAAAAAAACAATTGTAATAATATAATTTTGACTTCATATTATGTTTTTTTTCCTCAATTATATTTTAGATATGGGAAAATCAGGATTAAAATAGCTGTTCTGAAAGGATAAATTGGGGCATTGAAATAAACTTCCAATAGTCATTTGCAAGGACTAAAATTGGCACAAGAAAGAAACAATTGTAATAACAAAAAATTTGACTTCATATGTTTTTTTCTCAATTATATTTTAGATGTTGGAAAATGAGGATTAAAATAGCTGTTCTAAAATGGGATAAATTTGGGCATGGAAATAAACTTGCAACAGTCATTTGCAAAGACTAAAATTGGCACAAGAAAAAAAACAATTATAATAAAAAATTTTAACTTCATCATGTTTTTTTTCTCAATTATATTTGAGATATGGGAAAATCCGGATTAAAATAGCTGTTCGAAAATGGGATAAATTGGGGCATTGAAATAAACTTCCAATAGTCATTTGCAAGGACTAAAATTGGCACAAGAAAGAAAACAATTGTCATAAAATTTTTTTGACTTCATCAGGTTTTTTTTCTCAATTATATTTTAGATATGGAAAAATCAGGATTAAAATAGCTGTTCTAAAATATGATAAATTGGGGCATCGAAATAAACTTCCAATAGTCATTTGCAAGGACTAAAATTGGCACAAGAAAAAAAAATTGTTATAAAAAAAATTTTGACTTCATCAGGTTTATTTTTTCAATTATATTTGAGACTTGGAAAAATCAGGATTAAATCACTTCTTCTGAAATAGGATAAATTGGGGCTGGGAAATAAACTTCCAATAGTCCTTTGCAATGACTAAAATTGGCACAAGAAAGAGAACAATTGTGTAAAGAAAATATCTTCTCTTCAAAATTTTCAATGCACTTGATCAGGTTTATTTTTTTCCAATTATATTTGAGACATGGAAAAATCATGATTAAAGTACTTCTTCTAAAATAGGATAAATTGGGGCAAGGACTAAAATTGGCACAAGAAAGAAAGCAAAAGTTTAAAAAATCTTCTCTTCAAAATTTCAAATGCACTTGATCAGGTTAATTTTTTCAATTATATTTGAGACATGGAAGAATCAAGATTAAAGTACTTCTTCTAAAATAGGATAAATTGGGTCATGGAAATAAACTTCTCAAATGAAGACAAAAAAGTGCAACACATCAAAATTGACAAAATTTGAATACAATTTCAACCATCAGTCAAGGACTTTGAAATATATGTTGACCTCTTCAAAGCTCCCTTTCAACCAGGAAATTATTCTGTTCAACTAGGAAATGTTGGCAAGTAGACCAAAATGAGAATAATTTCTAAAATTGCTTGCACATTTTTAAATGCGCTTGACTATAGTTAAGTAACTTGATGTCAGATATGTTGGGCCATTCAAGGTTTTTAAAAAATCAAGGTTGAAGTACCTGTTAAATAGGAGAAATCAAGACTAGGAAAGAAACTTCTCAACTATTAACAAAATATGCATTGTACCAAAATCTGAATTTGAATAACATTTAAACTATTATTCAGAGTCTTCAAAACACATTTTTTCCTCCTTACAGATCATTTTTCTCAACTTGAAAAACCTTTTCTCTTCTCCTTGAAAAAGCTTCTTTACAAATTAAATAAAAGCATGCTGTATTAATTAAAATGTAAATATTTGTTTTCACTATATTGGATAGGGACCTTTATTCACTATTTATAATTTTCAAGTTTCTCTCTTAACCATGGACATTTTAATTTTTATCTAAAAAAAATTTATTTCAGACTAATTGGGTATGCCAAAAATCATTGCACTAAAATTTGAGAGAAATTGAAAATCCATTAAAGATGGTTCAATTAAGATGTAAACACATTATGAGCATATGGGATAACCATTATTATTCTTGCACAGTCCTTGGCATCATCCAGATTATCAAGTTTTTATTCAACATACAGTACTTTAACAGATGTCATAAATGAGACCAGCAAAATCAAGCAGTGGATCATCATGCATTAAAAATACTTTTCAATCCAGCAGCTTTCCCAAAAACATAAAATGAGACCAACAAACCTTGTCCATTCTGGCAAAGTCCTTGGCATCATCCAACAGAGGGTCATGCAACCCACCACCACTGGCACCCCTGCCAAAGAACTGGGTGCAACCCTTGTTTAAGTACTGGTACTGGTCAGGCATGCCAAGTCTCAGTTGCTTCCTCAGGGCCTCAGGGGCACCAGCACAGAGTTGGTAGAAAATGTGGTAATTTCTCTCCTCGGGGCTTTGGCCACAAATCCTGGATTTCTCCAGCAAGTAGTGAGAAATGTAGCCACCAACAACCAGTTGCTTGTCTGAGAAGTGGATCTCTATGAACTTGCCAAAACGCGAGGAGTTGTTGTTGCGGGTTGTTTTGGCATTGCCAAATGCCTCCAACACTGGATTGGCTGAAAAACAACACCCACAAAAATACTCTTCACTCAAATAAAAATATAAATTGTATTTTTTTAGAAAATACTAAAAATGTTAGTCCCCTACAACTGCACTGAGTGTAAAATAATATACTGTATCAACATTCCTATTGATGAAAAAGAAAAAAAAATTAAACCCCTGGCAGAAGAATATTTTCAAACTTTCCTTGCTGGGTAAATCAACAAAGGTTTACAATTTATCAGAAGTAGCACTGAAGTCTTATCTTTATCTGAAATTTTGGAGAGACAAGGTCAGTTGAAATTATCCAATGGAAAATAAAATTTGGCCTTTCTAATTATGACACTTTTTCACAAATTTTTCACCAGCTGAAATGAATTACATTGTTTAGTTTTTATCATTATGAGAAACATTTCTTCAAGTGTACCTTTCTAATTTGTTTGAAAGCATTCCACTGAAGCTGCTTCATTGGTTTTCACCTTAATTTTTGCCAAAAAGCATAAGTTTTTTAATAACTGCCATAAAGTCTTCTAAACAAAACTTTTCTGAGTTTGCAAAAATTTTTATGGTAATTTGTCAGTCTGAGGGTTCAAAAAGGTTTGGGAGCATTGGTTTATAGGATCCTGACCCAAAACCATGTTTTCAAAGCTCAGTAAAGACTTCTGAACCTATCCATGATTAGTTTTGGTCAGGTTTATTGCACTTTCTCTCTTATATGGTTTACTTACAGCAAACTGAAAATATGTGTAAAGATAATAGATGAAATTCCAAGGAATAATGAGTTAAATCACCATCAAGAATCCTGCTTTCAATTGGTCCAGCAGCATGTCCTCCAGTCTCACACAAGTACCTCAATACATATTTGGTAGACTCAGTCTTGCCAGCACCAGACTCTCCAGACACAATGATGGACTGTGACTGCTTGAGCACCTTCATGTCCCTGAAAGCCTTGTCAGCTGCAATAAAGCACACAAAAACAATATCATATCAAAGAGCAACTCTTCAACATTTCCTTCTGAACCTCACCAATAGCAAACACATGTGGTGGCAGGACACCAATGGACTTTCCCCTGTAGTCTGCAATGCATTTGGAAGAGTACAGGTTCTTGATGTCTGCATAGGGGTTGACAGCTATCAGGATGTTGGCCACATAAGTCTGTAAAAAATTGGAATTGACTGTACTGCACAGTATATTAACACCAAAGCACCATAAAAAAAAGCATTTTGAAAAACAATTTGAAAAAGCTTTCCATCATACAATTTAATAACCAGTGCCAACTGAGACTGAGCAAACATAATTGTCCAGTTTAAAAACACTTTCAAATTCAATCAAGTTGCTCACATTTTTGAGCTGGTGATTCAATATTTTCCAATAATGACCAATAATTGTCATCAATTATAAAAAATTAAAGAAAAGGCATTAACAAAATGGGATTTAGTGATGAAAACTGTACCATCAAGTCAATCATCATTAAAGTTCCAGAAAATTGTATTTGAATACATGGTGGCACTATGACAAGGGGTTACAACTATACTTTTAGTAATTGGAGAAATAATTATAAAAATTAAGTCAGGAGTTTATTTTCTTTAGGTATTGATTCCCTTCATTTTAGCATCACTTCACAACTAATGCACAGGCTGAAAGAAAATCCTTAAAACATGATGTTGAACTTAAAAAGCCCCTTTTAATCAATTTCATGTGATTCAAGTAACTTCAATATTCAATTCTTCCCACTTAAATTGACTGAACTAATGAAAACCCATCTTATTAAATAGAATATTGAGCCTATATGATTGAATTGACCAAAAATGAAGATTTTGGGAGAAAAACTTCACATGAAAAATGAAGAAAAAGTACTTCTAAAACAGTACTTACATAGATGTGGTCCTTCATGTACCTCAGCCTCACATTGTGCAGCAGAGTAGCCTCATTCAAGTACATAAGCCCACCTGTAAATCATTTTTGTTACAAAAAAAAATCTCATTTAAAAAACAGACAAATTTTAAACTGCAACAAAATGCTCACAATTGTCATCAAAGTCTTTGGCGTCATTTTCCTCAGCAGGGAAAACCCTGTCAAAAGCACAGTTTACTGCCTTGAAGCGTCTGTCCACGGGTTGCACAGTGACCTCCTCTGAACCCAAGTCCACGATGTGACCCAGAATAAAGCCCTCTGTTGGCTCTGCCACCCACACCTTCTGGTTCTCCATAACGTTGCTGCTTTCCTGTGCACCCTGTCAAAAAATAGAAGAAGAAAAAAAGATTTTTGCTCAGCTTTATTACAAAAATAAGTTTCAGAAATGCCAGACAGGTGTCACCTGAATCACTGCAGGGGGCAAATATATCCTGACCTGACCTGGTTCTTATGAATCCCTAAATGCTTGCTGTGAGGTCAGATAAGTTTTGCCTGAAACTTCAGAATAAATTAAAAAAGGAAGCCTTCTGTAACTTGGGGCTTCACAAAATTCTACAAAATTGAAGTGACACCTATGGTTTAAAAAATAACCAAATGGAGACCCTTGAACTAACCTCTCATAAACTGAACAAAAATCTGAAACTGTATAAGTTTTTTTTATGTGAATCTCCAAAGATGATCAAAATTTAGGCATTGCAGTTAACCTTTGAAAAAAGTAAAACTACATGAGAAGCTCAAGGTCACCTGAATTCACTCTAAAAAATTGGAATAAATATGGACAGTCTGCTGGTCATTCATGATGCAATCACACACAAAGTGAAGTAGAAAACAAAGGAACTCTTGATATATTAATCAAAATCTGGAATTTATGTGTGCAAACATGAATTTAATTTAAAAAAACAATCATCAAAATATACCTAGTGCAGTAAAAAATGTTGATAACCCACCTATGAAATAAATTTAGTATATAGTACATGTTGGACAGAAGAAATATTTGCATTTTGTTGCTATTTTCTCATTAAAATTTCAGAGCCCAGCAAAACATCTCAAATTCATGAACATTTTGAAAATGATGCAAATACAGTGAAAATGGAAAATGGACAATTGGCAGTATTCAGAATCAAAAACAGGATTTGGGGAAGAAGGAAAGTACCAAAAAAAAGTTTGTGTTTTAACTCTCACTCTCTGTGTATATGTTTTTCACTCCCAATAAAGTTCTTTCGGGGTTGAAAGAAGGGGACTTTGTACATGAACACGTGGTACTCGAGAAACAACTGGTTTTGAGTAGTAGTCTCCAAAATGGATGCCAGCTCTCCAATGTCCTGTGACCAGGAGTCCAACAAATCCACAGGCTTGTCCCCCTGGGAAAAGTAAACCACCCCCAGGGGCCTGTCAATTTTGGCATGCACATTTCCCCCAGACACCAAATCAGCCAAAGCCTGCTCAGCCTGCTTGGCTGGCAAGTCCAGCAACTGCCCCATGCGCTTGAGTGTGATCCTTGTATAATACTTGGCAACCACTCTCAAATTATGCTCAATGACCCTTTTCCCAAAGACCTGCCAATTAGTCTCATCAGCCAATGGACCAGACTTGTCACCTCTCAGCTCCTTTTCAAAGGCCTCACAAATCACCTTCCATCTTATGAGTTCTGGGTTTGTGTGAAGTCTCAGCAGCTCTTTGTAGGTCTTCAAGGACTCCAAGTCAGACAGTTGGGACACCTTGAGCATGAGGTCATGCTGCTCAGGGTCTCTTGGTGACATGAGTAGGAACAAGATGGCACTTTTGAGATGCTGAATGCCATCAGCCTTGTTCCTGCCTGGAATCTCATAAATGGCAAAGTGGTGTTTGAAAGCATCCAAGTATGCCTTCTCATGTATGCTGAGCTGGATCATGTAGCCATAATAGATGAGCTTCCTTTCATAAGATTCAGAATTGTCTGCAAAAATCCTGGTATTGATTTTCTTTGAAATTATTTGCGCGCGGATAAAGTCATTGCGCAACAGACTCAGTCTCATCTGTTCCAGTATAAGGTCCACCTTTTGAAATGGATCCATAGACCCATAGGTCTCCACTTGGAGCTCCAGCATGAGATTAGCTGCAGATTCCAAGTCATTGATCTGCTCTTTGATGAGTGCCAGTCTGTGGGTCAGCAAAGCACGCTCAGTTTCCAGGTACATCTTGCCAGCACTCACTTCCCTGAGTGCCTCAATCAACTGCACTTCAGTGCCAGTGTCTTTGATGGTGTCCAACACACTCATGCACTCCTTGACCATGTAGCCAATGGCCTGTTTCATTTGTCTCCTGTGTCTGGAGAGTGTGAGGACTTGCTCATTGAGCAGGGACCAGGATTTGGCCTGGGCCAGGATTTGTACCACTGCCACCAGGATCTTGGACAGTGAGTGAGTGTCTGCACTGGCCCTGGCTTTCTTTTCTATGGTGAGCAGGGATTCCAGGGCCTTGTTGAGGTCCTTTTCTGCTTTGGCCTTGGGGATTATACTGGCCACTTCCTGACTGTGGTCAAAGTCCATCCTCACCAGTTCTCCTTTTTCTGTCTCAGCCATGGTTTTTCTTCTTGTTTTATCTTATTTATTCTACAATCACAATTTGAGATGGGGTAACACAAATAACACCTAGCTCTTCTACCAGGAGAAAAGTTTTGGATGATTGGATGCTGAGGAAGGTTGGGGCAGACAAAACCTTCAATGTACATCTTCTGAGGCTAACTTTTCCAAGACCTTGCCTCCTGACCAGTTTTCTACTTTGCCTTGGGTTCAACATAAGCCCCATGAATTGAATTACATTTCAGAATACTGTACTATTTCTTAAAGTTGTGTGAAGGATACTTGGGAAGACAGGGTCTCACACATCAAGAGGGATGGTTCAAAAAACTAAAACTGTGCCTTGAGAAGGAAATATTTAGCCATTCATAATTCAGTGGTACTATCAAAGGAAAGACTTGAAATAAACCTCTGTAAACTTGCTGATGATTTAATTCAATTGCAGCTATGAATGAAAGCCCTTTCCTTAGAAGAAATGATCTTCTATGAAGTCTATGTTGTCTCTGACAACCTGTGCATTCAGTACCATACTAATCTTAACATTTTCAAGAACAGAACACTTTCTACAGGAACATGGAGTCATAGTGAATTTTTCAATTTCTTCAAATAAACTGGAGAGAAATACTGAAATGTTCTTGAATTAAATAGGACAGTTTCCTTATCTGTCACCTTTTCATTGCAGTCTGGTTGGAATACAGGCCAGGAATGATCAAATAAATACCAGTGTAACCATAAGTTAAGCTCATCTTATTCTTTCTAAATGAATTATAAAAAAGTATTAGAATGACCACATTTTGAAGAAACACAGTTATACCCTTGAGGCCTGTGATGAGGCTTCTTGTCACTGACTGTGGTCAAACTCCATCACCAAAATTTGTCTCTCCACATTGAATCTGTCATCTTCTCATTGTACAGGTACTTATAAACAAAATGAGGGAGTGAAAACAAGACAACACCTACATAGTATTTGGAATACTTCCACATTTGAAGGGATTAAAATTATTGATCCACATAAAGTAACATGTTCACAATGATAAGCCACAGCCTTTTCTTTTACCTTTGAGGGTTTGACTTCTGACAAAGTCACTGGATTCATATTGAGTCCCTGTTGGGATTTTGCAGTATGACACACTGGCCCAACAGTTGTTGTTGTTGCAGCAAAATAAGGCACTCTTGTAAACACCATCTTCCTCCACACACAACAACAAAAATTTAAAGGGGAGAAAGCGCGAAAAAAAATCCTTGCGGCGACGGGATTCGATACCGGGTCCCTTTCGCGCCTGCGCCTGGCGACCAACTGCCCATTTGTAGGCCATAACCTTTGACGCCTGCTGGAGACAGATTGGCTCATGGTGCGCGAGAGGATCAGGAGAGAGACAGACAGACAGAATGTCGGACAGGCACAAAGGGAGCAATGAAGAGAAGGCAGGACAGAGAAACGCCGAAAATCGGACACCGGGAAGGCAAACAACACGGGGTCAACGGTAAATGGGGAGACAGAGAGAGAAAAAGCAGGACAATGCTCAAATTGCCGCCTGCAGTGTGAATGTGCGAATGCGGGGTACAGTAGTATAGAGTACATTTGCTGAAGGCAATCAACCTGCGCGGTAGCCATCACATGATGTAAGCAAGGCCGAAAGTTCCCCTAGTTCCCTACCGCCACATCGTCCTTGTTTGACGAGGGAGTCCGTTTTGGTAAGTGTTAAATTTTTTTTTCAACCTATTAACTTTTTTTTTTATTATATCTAGGGGTGCACGAAAATATTGGATTGAAAAGATTTGAAGAGCACCAAAGATGGTTCATCGATTTTTTCAGACCTTAGTTGACGCATTGGTGGTAAAAATCAAGGTAATCTACTCCAAACTTGAACAAATTCATTTGATGTGAAGACTTAAAAGTTAAAATATTCACCTGTCATCAAATTTTCTTCAAATAAAAGAACTGAAAGATCAACTGAGGGGAAACATTTTCTTCTCAGCAAGTTTTCTGCTGGTGTGACCAAATGTTGAGGTTCTTGTCAATTTGAGAAAACAAGATACTCAAGTCTGGGCATCAATTATAGACAATCCCCAAGAAATGAACAATGGATTTCCTTTAATTTTTCCATGGATCATACACAGTGGCTTGAACAAATCTGCATCAGGACTTTGACTAATCCCTACATTTCCTTACAAGGTAGCATCAAAACTATTGAACCATCTCCATAATAGATAGCCAGGTTCTGCTTTAAAAACACTAACTAATAACTTTTAAAAATGTCAAAGTCCAGCCTTGAAAAGATGAATGATTGAAGAAAATTCAAATTTTCCTCCCACTTCAGGGTAACAAAGAAGCAAGAATTCATACATATATGTCACACAAGTATTCTCTCAAGAAAATTTCCCATAAAATTAGCAGCAATAAAAAGCTTGATCAATGAATGATGGTTTATTTTCTGAAAGAAGGGATTCTGACTGAGGTGTACCTTTAAACCAATTTATAAAATGCATTTATGCTAATTGAGGCTCTATTAAGAGCAGTTGATTAATGTCCTGCATATATTCTCTTCCAAACCCACAAAACTTCCTTGGAGGACATTTAAAAAACTGTTCATCATGAATAAAATTGATCATTCCTCTTCTTTAGTGAGTGAACTGACTCTGACTATAGGAAAATACTTCACACACTTGTAGTGTAAACCTATCCAGAAATTCATTCAAGCTAGGTAGAATTCCACTGAAAAAATTGGGTCCAAAAGTTCATATCCTGCATAAACTCTCCTATCAAATTACAAAATACATGCTGAATAGCAAGAAAAAAGGACATAGAGTCATTATTAAATCAAATTTGTCCTCTTCAGAGAGCTTAGTCATTCTGACTGAGGAACACTTGAAAAACTATTGAACCAATCCTCAAAATGCATTTACTGCATGCTAATTAAAGCTCAATTTAAATGTGGTTGATCAATTTATGTTCATAGCATATGCATTATTCTCTTATAAACCCACAGTATAATTCCCCTGAAGATCATGAAAAATGGGACAAATAGATTGATTTCCTTGGTAAGGAAAGTGATTCCGCCTGATGAATACCTTAGACACCTCCTACACCTACATTTTCAGAACAAGTTAAGGAATATAATGCTTGCCAGTCACGCTCTGGTCCGGATTTTCAACAAAAGCTTCAACAATAGCTCAAGTCCTTCTTGGGAACAACTTCAGGGTTTTCTTTTCCTAGCT